TAACAATAAAGTGCAGACCGATGTCTTTTATAGTAACAGCACTGACGACAATAAATCATGAGACACTGTAGTGACAAAGCAAAATTGCCTGCAGTGTCTTTCTTGGTCCTGTGGGGGCAAAACAGAGCTAAAGGTTGGCTGTTTTTACAATGAAAAATCTATAAATATCACTATAAATTGCTAAACTGCTGTGGGTGGGGACAGCAGCAAAAAGTATTTTAGCCACCTAAAAAAAATTGTTTAAGCTTATCGTTGTCAGACAGCCGTTTCCGATGGTAAACTGAAGCTGTTATATCTATCTATTACCTGTGAGTTGCTGATCAACGCTGCTTCGATTGGTTTGTTTTTGTGTTATTGTGTGACTTTGGTGATTTAAAGGGTTAGTTTGGATTCAAACAGTAACACAAACTACCTCACCATTCAAGGCAGTGGTAGACCAGCAAATCCAGTGTTTTTTGTCTTGTGGCTTTGGAGAGAACGATATAAAGGTGACTATGGATAAACACATCATACAGCCCCATTTTAAAAAACCTGAACTGTCCCTTTAATATCAATATCGGTTTGGATAATAATGGCTATAGTTCCTACAACGTTCACTACAATGTTCAATGCAAACACCACCAAATGCTAAGAGTTAGTTTCAGTTCACATCCAAACCGCTGGAGTACAGAGCCAAAACAAGAGTGTCCTAATACTTATCAGACTGCAGTGATTAGGAGTAGGACAAAATTGTGGCAAAATGTGATTATAGATTATTTTGCAATGTGTTAAAACACTTTTATTTTGTAAGGGCAATAGTAATGGGTATTGTAGTCAGCTGCTTAGTTTCTCTCTTTCAGTAGATGCTCCACTCTCACTGCCAGTGCATTAGTGTTCTCTATGGATTCACTTACTGTTAACTTATTTTTAGGAATTTAACTGTCAGTATGTGAATACAATGGGTTGGCCTACTCTAAGGCTGTAGTACGGTGCATTACCCCTTTTCAGCACTGCAGCCAGCCAATGAACTGGGCAATAACATTTACATCAACACCTGTGTGTTGCCGTCGTTACCCAGAAATAGCTAGGCCGAATTACAGTGCTGGTGGAGTCCAGGAAATAATGATTCTTTTTGTTCACTGAAAGTGTAGCCTGTTAGGAGAAACACTTACACACAACATGTGAGACACAAGCTGTGACCACATCATTCTGAAAACACATAGAATACATATGATTTAGCCTGACTGTGTAATATGATAATTTTTAACAGCCTTAAAAGGCTTTTTTTATTTATATTTTTATAATAACAATGTATCAGATGGAAATGTGTAATATAATCTCACTTATTGTGATGAACCTACAGTGAATTATCACTGTTATCATTGGCTTGAATGTAAAGACAAAAAACAAACCAAAACCAGAACTAAAGAGGTTGCCAGAAACCTCTTTAACTGCTGGATGTGTAAATAAGCAACACAAACACCCTGTCCATTAAAAAAACTGATCGTATGTCAGTGTAGTGTTCACAGCTTGAAAAAAAATCTGTTAATACAGATTTAAAGCTTCTTAACGCTAAACAAAAGGGCTTAACTGTATGTTCCAGAGCTTACACCAGCCCTCCATTACAATCACACACAGCCTCACCCTCATTGCATTTCACTATAATATAACACTGCTAAGCAGCATGAGAGAATAAAAGGTGAACTTGAGTTACCTCTGAGTTCAGCCAATTTTAACTTTCTCTGAAAAGTGCATTGAAAAGATAAAGACCACTTTACTGAAGGCCTCCCATGAACAGATACAAAACCTAGAAGATAATGTTTCATCAAAAAGAAAGAAGAAAATGCAGTCCATGCCCACCTTTTTCTTTGTTAGCTGAATAATTAGTTTCTATCTTAACACTTTTGTCTGGAGTCACGCTGGTTGTTCTGGTTACAGTCACTGGCAGGTTGCCACAGTTATAACTGAGAAGAAATTATGTAAACAGGTCCAGGGGAAGTGAATAGATGTGAATACGATCACAGGTGCCAAAGACAGAATTCTTATTCTTATTCTTGTGATAAATTTCAGGCTTTCTGGTTGGAGTTTCCAAAATCTGAGAAGATGTTTTCACTTCAAGATAATTATTGCAATAAGTATGACCACACAATTTATCATAATATTATTCTGTATTATTTAAATCACAATATGGCCAAGTGCAATATTAAAATTGCAGAAGTTGCAATTATTTTTTTTATTAAAGGTAAAATGTGTGACAAGTACTGTACAGTAGTACAAGTGCAGTAGTGCTGCAGAGAGGTCCTAGGCTATAAATCTTGTTCTCCAGATTTTAGAAGATGTTTGTTTGGTACAGACCCCAACAAATTTCACATCATGATTTAAATTTTTAGTTGAAATTAAATTTGAGATACAAAAATGATCATTCCCACAGTAATCAAGAATCATATCACCATGGCAATACCTGTCAAAAGAACTGCAACATGATGCTTTTATCATATTGTGCAGTCCTAGCAATAAGGTGTTGGTCACTATTATAACTAACTGCAAGCAAGAACAGAGAGAAGTGTTTCTCATATATGGAACTTACTTGACACCCAAATATATATTCTTCCATTCAAAAAGATTTATTTGTATTTAATAGTTTAATACTTTCAAAATGTGTGTATATACAGTTATTTGTCTGCGAGAATTATGCATTTATGTCCAGTCTTAAGTTAGCTGGGTAGTTGGAAGCAACTGATCAGGGTCCAGAGGGAGGACAGAGTCTTTCCTAAAGGGACAACCTGTTCGCTGCTGTCTTATCTTTTTACCCAGCTTTTATTAGTGACTGGCTTTTGTTTTTATATTAATTGGACCTTTTACTTACTTTTATTTGACAATTTACAATAGTTCACTATTCGTATGTTCAGTCTGTTGTTGAACTATTTTGTTTGAAATTGACCACATGGTGTACCCCCTCCTGCTCTTGTCATCTATATTAACCTTGACTTTCTTTCTCTTTCATCTCAGGTGAACGGACCTTACCATCCCTCTCAGTCTTCTGGTCTGTGACAGGAGACCAATTGGACTTCCCTGCTGGGGTGACGAGGTGGTGTCAGCCTGTCAAATGAAGGCCTTTTATGGACATCATGTTGCCCGTGTGGTCTGAACTCCTAACCTCTTGTAAAGGCTCTGAACCATAGTGGGGTATCTCTGCTTTTGTTCTGTCCCAGCCAAAAGGACAAAATGAACAGTTGCAGCCCACATTTAGCAGCATGTGGCCTGGTGAGAGGTCATTGTCACTCACCACAGACTATTTGTGGATCTTGTATGGTTTCTGGATTATGCCTTACACCGAGAGTTCTTATTCAGCAGTTTCCTCAAACATCCCTAAATATGAAGTATCATGTCAAGCCTGACAGTGGCTCAAAGCCTTTTCCGTTGTGTGGTCATATCAGACGTCCTCGCCCATGTCTCAGAATATTATGACTTTTCAAATGCTGGAGTAAGATGGGAATATTACTTCTGTCTGGACTTCCACTTCGTTTGATTCCGTACCATACCATGCTGGATGGCAGAAACTATGGGCGAAGTAAAGACTAATGCTCAGTCGGAAGTTGGAAATTCCCACCCGGTACGTTGCAATAACAACCTCTGCGTTCTCCTGCGGCCACAATCAGAAACCCCGGGGGAGACAAATGAACGCCTGGCTTGGAGATATTATACCTGGATAGACGGCTAATGTCATTGTATGTTCTAAACATAGAACATTAACTTTATCACATTTTGGAAAGTGCACCTTTTTGCTTTCTTGCCATGAGTTGGATGGTTTGTATGGTAAATTTGAAGCTACAGCCAGAAGATGATTAGCTTAGTTCAGAATAGACTGGAAGAAGGGCGAAAGCGCTACCTGTAAAACCTCAATTTCTACACTTATGGTATGGTTAGTTTGTGAGCTTTAAAAGGTGCTGGTGGGCATATTTTCCTACCTTTAACCAGAGCAAGGCTAGTTGTAACTTCCTGTTTAACAGAGGTTGGTATCTCATCTAACTCTTGGCATGAGAGTAAATAACTTGATTTCCCAAACTGTTAACTTTAAGCTTTAAATCCATACAGAGTGTTTGGATATATGTGCTTCTACCAGCCATTTAACTTAAAAGTAAATGTAGCACTGAAACAATTCATTGATTAATCACTCAACACAAGTGGGTTGGGTTTTTTTGTTTTGTTTTACAGTTGATTGATCATGTGACTTCATAGCAAAGGATGCTTAACATTCACTGGTGTCAGTTTCTCAGCTGTGAAAATTTTCTGCTTTTTCTGTTTTAAATAGTTAAAAATTGAACGCTTTTCGGTTTGGGACTTTTGGTTGCAAAAAAACCAAGCAAATTTAGGATGTAACCTGGGCCTTTGTTAACATCTGATGGGCAATTTTCACTATTTGTTTAAACTTTATAGATTAAAAGGTCCAGTGTGTAACATTTAGGAGGATCTATTGGCAGAAATGGAATATAATATTCATAGGTATGTTTTCATTAGTGTATA